CACTTGAGCCTAAGAGTTTGAGGTTGCTGTGAGCAGAGTACTCTACCAAGGACAACAAAGTGAGACTCTGTCTCAAAAATTTAAAAAAAGAGAACCTACCTGATATGGATCTAGTCTAATAGGGTAACTTTATTTTCTTTTCTATTATTATTTTTTTTCTACCTATAAGTCAGGGGTAGCCTTATCTGTGTCACTATCCCTCCAAATTCATTTCATTTCAGCTATACTAGCCTTTTTAATTTCTTATTTAAAACATAAATAAATAAGCTCAATCCCACCTATTAATATTCCTCATGCTGGTCCCTTTGCCTAGAATTTGTATGTATTTGAATTTGCCTACCTGAAGGTTTAATAAGTGCCACAGATACATAAATCTACGCTTTTTATCCCATTTGTGGTACTTATAATTTCTTCAAATGCCTGAGGACTCCAATGGCAACTTAGATTATCTGATTCTAATAGGTCCCTGCAGCTCTGTTGTGTCTTCTTCAATAGATTTTCTCTGTTCTCCAAACTGGATAATCTGCTGATGTATCTTCCAATTCACTGGCCCTTTTATCCTCTCTAATATGCTGCTATATTCATCAGGGTATTTTTCTATTCCATTATTTACTTTACTTTAACTGTCAGTTCTAAAATTTCAATTTGATCCTTTTTGCTTACATTTATTTGCTAAGATTCCTTATCCCTTCACTCATTACATTTTCCTTTAATTCCTTGAATATATTTTTCTTTAATTTCTTCAGCATCTTTAGAATAGTTGCTTTAATGTCTTCATCTGTTAGATCCAGCATCTGTGCTATCTCTATGTCCATGTCTACTGACTAGTTTGTTTTTTTCTTGATTATAACATACAGTTTCTTATTTACTTGCATGTCCACTAGTTTTTATCATATACTGAATATCTTAATGATATAATATAGGAGATTCTGGATTGTTATCTTCTGCTAAGAATATTAATTTTTATTACAGAAGCAAGTTCAATTATAGGCTGATCAAATAGAACTCATGAAGGCTCAGTTTTACACTGTGTAAGGGACACATCTGTGGAAGGCCTAAGGTACTCAAAAGACCCTCTAAATTGGTAAGAATCACCTCCAAACTCTGCCCCTTACAGATACTGTCAGTGTTATAGGCGTCATTAGTCTAACCTACAGGAGACCTTACTCTATGGTTTGGTATTTTGATGTCTCAGTTAGATGCCTAAGGTATTACTATCAGCAAGATCTCTCCACTCTGGTTGGGCTGAAAATGCCAACACTGACCTCTCTTGATATCTCTGTTCCACTTTTAACCCCACAGCAGTCACTCTCTAAGTCGCCTTAGGTAGCCTCATCCTGTATATGTGTAGCTTCGTCCTCAACCAAGTGCAAGCCCTTTCAGGGATCCCACACAAGTCTGTGTCTCCACATTTTAGCATTCTGCCTCAAAGAGTACAGACTTTCCAACTGCTTCAACTGCAACCTCTGCAGCCTTAACTCAGTGGGACCACCATATTCTGCTTCAATGCCAGCTTGCTCTACTACAGCTAGGAAGTTGTCCCTAGTCGGAGAGCCAAAGCGATCATGGAACTCACTTCAATGCTTTTCCCTTCCCTCAGACAGTCTTGGGCTGCCTACTGTCCAATACTTAAAAATAGCTGTCTCAGCCAGGTTGGTTGCTCACCCCTGCAATCCTAGCACTCTGAGAGGCTGAAGCAGGAAGATCACCAGAGTTCAGGAGTTTGAGAACAGCTTGAATGGGAGTGAGACCCCATCTCTACTAAAAACAGAAAAACTAACCAGGCATTGTGGTAGACACTGTAAGCCAGCTACTTGGGAGACTGAGGCAAGGGGATCACTCAATCCCAAGAATTTGAGATTGCTATGAGCTATGATGTCATAGCACTCTACCCAAGATGATAGACTGAGATTCCGTCTCAAAAAAAAGAAAAACTGTCTCACTTTTTGTTCAGTTTTATGTTGTTTATGAAACAAGGGCTAGTCCAGTATCCAGAAGCAGGAGACATCTTCTACTAGAAACCTGACCCACCCCATAACCACCCAACTCCACTCACCCTCTAGTTAACTGACTTTCTCTCAACCATTAGATTTTACTTTAAATAGCACTATCTCAGTGAAGCTTTGCCACCTCCCCTTCCAGTGAAATCAGGTCCCACTTTTATAACCACTTGCTCTACACTGTATAGTTTATAAATGGTTTAGTAGTTTTATTAAAGTAACCTCACTCACTAGACCATAAGCTTTCTAAGGGCAAGGACAGGGTTACTTAGTTGATTATTGTCGTCTTTAACCCATGTCCTAGTGTCTACTGCAGAGCCAAGCACATAGTGAGTGCTTAATAAATATTTGTTGAAGAATGAAATATGTTACGTAAGACAATCTCTAAATAACATATGGTAAACAACACACATGAAAATTTTGCCACTCTAAAGAAATATGATGAACTTCAATGTTCATGTTTCATGAGCCAGAAAAAAGAATGCTGCTTAAAATAATTGATATATTTAATGTACTATAAATTTGAGCAAACTAAAGGTATAGAAATTAGTTTGTATAAGAGTATACTAAGCATACAAATACTTAACAATTCCAAGTTTTATAACTTAAACTCTCTATTATTATAAAATCCCAGGCCATACACCCCAAAAGTTTGGAATATAAAAAATGAAGACATAGAAGTGATTGTTGTTACTGTTTAAAGAAGGGCAAAAAGAGTATGACTATGGGCTCGGCGCCTGTGGCTCAAGCAGCTAAGGCGCCAGCCACATACACCTAAGGTGGCGTGTTCGAATCCCCAGCCTGGGCCCACCAAACAACAATGATGGCTGCAACCAAAAAATGGCCAGGCATTGTGGCGGGCACCTGTAGTCCCAGCTACTTGGGAGGCTGAGGCAGGAGACTCACTTGAGCCCAGGAGTTGGAGGTTGCTGTGAGTGTGATGCCATGGCACTCTACCCAGGGGGGATAGCCTGAGGCTCTGTCTCAAAAAAAAAAAAAAAAAGAGTATGACTATGTTGCACCAAAAGTTAGGAGACCTGGTTTTCATCCCAACTCCAATGTAAATTAATCATGAGGTCTTAAACAGGTCATTTAATTTTTCTGGGGCTCAGTTTCCTCCTCCATAAAATAATAAGTTCTGGTAATTACTTCCAGCTTTAGCTTTCTATGAAAAAAAAAATCTATATTTTACCCTTAAATTCTGAAATATGCAATTTCCTATAATTACAGTAATATAAGTAAATTAAAAATTTCTTATGAATCTTTCTAAGAGTAGAATGTGAACGTTTTAAAACAATAACTAAGAAAATGACATGAAGGCTATGTTAGCCAGTTTGATGGAAGTGTTTTGGATTGTGTGTGAAAACCCCACACTGTACCCCAGAAGTACATTAATGTATATAGTTACCATTCAGTAAAAAAAAAAAAAAAAATTTCTTCTAACATATAACTCACCAGAAGTCAGATCTTTGTAGTTTTGTTGGTTTGTTAAAACCTGAGTAAGAACAGACCTCATTGCTCCTCCCATTTTAGTTAAGTCTTCTAAAAATGAAATTTGAGGTTCCAAAAGCTGAAGAACTTTGTTAAGGTCTTTTTCTGATGGTATATCAGCTGCTAAAAAAAAACAATAACAAAAAATCATTACAAATAATTTTTATTATAATACTTTGCTAAGAATAGTAGTATCTTATATTTTAACAGTTATAATGACTTATACTATCTTATAATCAATAAGGTTAATATAAAAACTCTGCTTAGAAAATTGGTATCTGCTCAGCACTCAGCCTAGAATAGACATGCTCAGGGATTTAGTCCTCTGAAAAGAAGTAGATACGAAAAAAAGAGATGATCTCCTAAGTTATTAAACACTTAATTTGTATAAGCAGCATTCAATCTGAGGGTATGATACATCCACATCTATAACTGTAATCATAAAATAATTTCAAAATAAGATAGTATTTAAGTTAAGATTATGCCCTATAATAAAATAAGATTTCAAATATATTAACAGTATCGTAAGAACAGTAGGGCAAAATTATGTCAGCTCTAAATTTAAACTTGTATAAAAAATAATCCATTCCCTATAATATTCCAAAAATACAAACTCACATTACCTGAAAGGCAGAAGCAACTAAAATGAAAGATGATTCTTCATAAATATGAAAATTTTTATTTTAAAAATATACCAGGCAAAACATGCCTAGTAGAGCTGAAGAGAAAGATAGGAAACTTAGCAGCTGAGAAAGAATATTAAAGATATAAATAAGAGATGTTTTAGAGAGGTCTAAAAGGAAAGAAGTGAATAGAGAGACTTAGAGCTTAGCCATAAATGGTCCAAAAAAAAAAAAAGGACTACCTGTAATGAATGGAACTAACAGTGGGACTGTGTGCCCCCTTTCATCAATTTCACTCAGTATTTGTTCAGCATCTAAATCCTTACTTTCTCAATGGAAAGCTAATACTATAAATTATTTGTCTTTATATTTTCCCCCAGTTACTTATATTGTAACCGTAGATGTTTAATTAATGTTTGTGAATGGTTACCAAGGGCTCTGATATGAACTCTAACACTGGTATAAGGATTGTTGGCTGAAATAAACAGAACTCAAAGCAACTGTGAAACCACAAAATCTCTCAGCTTCCATTACCTTGGATTAGATGATTCCAAGTCCTCTCTTTAAGTTTAAAGTGGTTTCTATACAAAATGATGCAAATTTTTTTTGCACAAATTAATCCTGAGAAGTGGTAATAAAAAGAAGAAAATTTCATGAACCCACATTCATGAGCTCATCTTTAGACAAAAGTCCATTCATTCTTCCATATTTTCAGAGAATAATATAATTATCAAAGCTACGTTTTACATGATTTACCTTTGATAACCATTGAATACTGTCAAAGAAAAAATAAAAATAATATACTTTTGTGTTAATTATTCTTCGATTAAACTAATGATAAAACTTTAAGGTTCCCATAACAAATGATATCTACCTATTACTTTTCTAAAATAGGATACCTGTAGTACAAAATGTAAATTCTCAGAAAGTGTGCTAACTATTTCCAAGAAATAATACAGAAGGCATCTTCAATAACTCAGCTGGTATCTGGTACCTTCTTTCCAAACAGATAGTTTTTGAAACTAACTCTAAGAGAAGTACTTAACAAAAGAGTGTATATTTGCCTTAAAATGTACAAAATAAGTATAATGGCTTGCTCATAATAAACATACAAGATATTTTTAGAAATGATGAAGATGTGGGTAGCACCCATAGCTCAGTGGGTAGGGGGCAATGGCCACATACACCAAGGCAGGCGAGTTCAAACCCAGCCCAAGCCAGCTAAAAATAGCTGGGCGTTGTGGAGTGCACCTGTAATCCCAGCTACTTGGGAGGCTGAGGTAAGAAAATCACTTAAGCCCCTCTAAGGTTGCTGTGAGCTGTGACACCATTGCACTCATGGCACTCTACCTAGAGGGAAAGCTCTGTCTCAAAAGAAGAAAAAAAAAAAAAAAGAAAGAAAGAAATAATGAAGATGTGAAGATGTTATATAATAGTCCTTTACACTTCAAGGAAAGAAACAGAAGACAAAAATGTGTGCCATAACTTCAAACTGAATAGGAGATTACTTATTTAGAAAGGTAAAAATTATCAGAAAAAGTTAATAAACTCAAGTCATACTATTTCATAAATTGTTATGTAACAATTCACAATGTCATGATGAGAACTTGGATACCTAAACCTAAACATTTAATAAAATGAAGTAATAGTGAATGCTAAAAAATATATATACACATTTTAAGAATGGAAAAACTGTATTAAATTTGCAATATTCAAGTCACATTTGACTTCTGCAATTATAAGAGATGCTCAACATGACTTGTATTCACCTTTGGTTAATGAGTATTACAATTTTTTTTTTTTTTTTTTTTTTGAGAGAAAGCCTCAAGCTGTCACCCTGGGTAGAGTGCTGTGACATCACATCTTACAGCAATCTCCAACTTCTGGGCTCAAGCGAGTCTCCTGCCTCAGCCTCCCAAGTAGCTGAGACGACAGATGCCTGCCACAACACCTGGTATTTTTTGGTTGCAGCTGTCATTGTTGTTTGGCAAGCCCAGGCTGAATCCAAACCCACCAGCTCAGGTGTATGTGGCTGGAGCCTTAGCTGCTTGAGCCAGAGATGCCAAGCCCACAATTTTTATATTTCATTTATTTATTATTTTTTAGAGACAGAGTCTCACTTTGTCACCCTGGGTAGAGTGCCATGGCGTCACAGCTCACAGCAACCCCCAGCTCTTGGGCTTGGGTGATTCTCTTGCCTCAGTCTCCCAAGTGGCTGGGACTACAGGTGCCCACCACAACATCCGGCTATTTTTCGTTGCAGTTTGGCAGGGATGGGTTTGAACCCTCCACCCTCGGTATATGGAGCAGGCACCCTACTCAATGAGCCACAGGCACTACCCTGAGTATTACAATTTTTTTTTTTTTTTTTTGAGACAGAGCCTCAAGCTGTCGCCCTGGATAGAGTGCCCTGGCATCATAGCTCACAGCAACCTCTAACTCCTAGGCTGAAGCGAGTCTCCTGCTTCCGCCTCCCAAGTAGCTGGGGCCACAGGCACCGGCCACAACACCTGGCTGTTTTTTGGTTGCAGCCATCATTGTTGTTTTGGCAGGCCCGGGCTGGATTTGAACCTGCCATCTTAGGTGTATGTGGCTGGCACCTTAGCCACTTGAGCCACAGGCGCCAAGCCGAGTATTACAATTTTAATACAGTCTTTTCCTTTCCTAAAATATTTTTGGTACCCTCTGTATTATTCAAGATTTTGACTAAATCTTAAAAGGTAAAAATGCTTATCATTTTTCTCTTTTTAGATGATGCTTACATCCATTCATTCTACCAGTAATGTACAAGTGAGAAATTTGATCCTAAATTTTTATATAATATATATTAAGGGGAATAAAAATATAAATAGACCTCTACCAAAAAAAGATTGGTAAAATAGCTTATCTTCTAAAAATTCTAAGTTAAATGCAAACAACTTCCAGGCCTTCTCAATTCTATCATAGTATTACTTTAATCTTATAAAATGATTACTTTCTCATCTGCAAAAGGTCAAGTAAGTTTGATTCAAAATATCTATGACCCCAAAAGCAGAAAGCACCAAACTATGACTACTACAAGGTACCTACAAGGTTGTATGATTTATTTTTAGCATGTTTTTGTGCATTTGATATGTATAGTCATCTATTTAAAATGTTAAGCAAAAAAAAAACAATATCTGGAAAAAATTCACTTTGTTATTAATGCTAAATTTGGGAAATTAAGAACTTAAAAAGGGTACTAATACTAAGTGGATTAAAACATACCTGGTTCATTATAGCCTTCTCTTAAGTACTGAATAAGACAAAAAATAAATCTTGGAAGAACAAATTCAGACATCATCAATAAGTCTTTGGGGACACAGGGAATATTTGAACTTGATTTAATTTGATGCCTTTTGCAAAACCTGTAATATGAAAAAGAAAAAAAAATTAACAGTGATGTCTATTCAGCCAAGGATATATTACTTCTGTTTCTAATGTTCATAATCAGAATGCAGGCTAATATATCAAAGCCAATAAAATCTTCCTTTATGATTTTAAGGTATCAAGTTAAAATAATATAATTTTAACTAGTCTTTAAATCAAAAATGGTACTCAGGGATCTTCTGCCTAATAAATGACCACACTAGTTAGATTCGAACTAGAGCCCCCGCCCAAACCAAAAAAAGGGGGGAAAAAAATCTCATTATGTAATTTACATTTTTTAACTGAAATATATTACTTTCAAGTAAGACCTTGTTACTTCTACTCTTTATAAACCAGAAAGTATAAACTAATCATTTCCTTTTTTTTTTTTTGAGACAGAGCCTCAAACTGTCCCCCTGGGTAGAGTGCTGTGGCATCACAGCTCACAGCAACCTCCAACTCCTGGGCTCAAGCGAGTTTCCTCCCTCAGCCTCCCAAGTAGCTGGGACCACAGGTGCCCGCCACAATGCTGGGCTATTTTTTGGTTGCAGCCATCATCGTTATTTGGCGGGCCTGGGCAGGATTCCAACCCGCCACCTTAGGTGTATGTGGCTGGCGCCTTAGCCACTTGAGCCACAGGCGCTGAGCCTAAACTAATCATTTTCAAGGAATTTACATTTTTCATTTCTTAACTATTTCTAATTTACTGCTTTAATGAGTGGTTAAGTGATATAAAGACATGTACTTAAAGTTTACTTCAAAAGTTTGTATAGACTTAAGTATATGCATTCCTTTTAATCTTGTACTCATTTTAAAGTATAATTGCTATCCTTCAGCAAAAATGAAGTAAACTATTCTATACTTATAATCCAAATAACCAAAAAAAGTTATTGGTGACCAAACACAAAATCACATTAAATGCATAAAATGCCTAGAAATTAATAGGAAGGGTGGAAAAACTATTTTACCTGAAAAATGCAAAAGATCTGAATAGAGAAAAACTACATTCCTAAAGCGAAATATTGACTTTATATGTATAAATATGTATATATGTATATATATACAGATATGTATATATGTGTATATAAATATATACAGATATGTATATATATATGCATATAGATTGATCTATCCGTATATATATATTTTTTAAAGGCAGTTCTCTAAAACTTAATGCCATTAAATTTAAATTGCAACGAGATCAATCACAAACTAAATCTAAAGTTCAAATGGAAGAGCATTTGTGTGAAAAACATTAAACTTGAAAACAAAGATCAATAATAATGAACTGGACTGTAAAACATGGTACAAAACAATTTTTTCATTTGTAGTTTTCTGGCCAGGGAGGGTTTGAACCCGCCACCTCTGGTATATAGGGCCAGTACCCTACTCCTTTGAGCCACAGGCACTGCCCAAAACATGGTACAAAACAATTTTAATTGAAACTCTACGGTAATGTGATAAAATTAATGTACCACAATTAAGTCCAGAAAAATATGTAAATTTGTGGATTTAATAAATAACAAATGTGGAGACAGAGAAGACTTTTAATAAATTACTTTTTTTTTTTTTTTGAGACAGAGCCTCAAGCTATCCCCCGGGGCAGAGTGCTGTGGCATCACAGCTCACAGCAACCTCCAACTCCTGGGCTCAAGCAAGTCTCCTGCCTCAGCCTCCCAAGTAGCTGGGACCACAGACATCCACTACAACGTCTGGCTATTTTTTGGTTGCAGCCATCGTTGTTTGGCAGGCCCAGGCTGGATTCGAACCCGCCACCTTAGGTGTATGTGGCTGGCACCTTAGCCACTTGAGCCACAGGCACCGGGCCAATAAATTACTTTAGGTCAAAACTGATTACCTAATGCAGAAAATAAGTTTAATTCCTACTTTATGTTATATACAAAATACATTCCCATGTACATTGAAAATCAAATGGAAGGAAAGGAACCTAGAAGAAAATTAACTTTTCTCCTATATTATCTCAGAGCATGGAATCTCTAACTGAGACTTGAAACCAAAAGTCACAAAAGAAAAAAACACATAAATCAAAAGATTTTATGCAAAAGACAATAACTGGAAAATATTTACAATATATAAAACAGCAAAAAGATTAATATCTATAATTATAAACTCTCAAAAATGGATAAGAAAAAAGTTCAATATATAAATCAAGCAAGGTCATGGAAGATTCACAAGGAAGTATTGAATAGGCCAGTCGGGACTGCTCACATCTGTATTCCTATCACTCTGAGAGGCCAAGGCCAGTAGATTTCTTGAGCTCAAGAGTTCGAGACCCAGAAGATAAAAAATCACATTACAATAAAGATATTTGTATCAGAATGTTTATTGCAGCCCAATTCATAATTGCCAGGTCATGGAAGAAGCCCAAGTGCCCATTAATCCATGAATGGATCAATAAACTGTGGTATATGTACACCTGGAATACTATACACCCCTAAAGAAAGATAGAGACTTTACCTCCTTCATGTTTACATGGATGGAACTGGAAAATGTTCTTCTTAGCAAAGTATCACAAGAACGAAAGACAAAGTATCCAATGTACACAGCCCTATTATGAAACTAATTTATAGTTCTCAAATGAAAGCTACAACTTAATCCTAGCCTAAGAATATGGAGAGGGGGTGGGAGAGGGGAGGGGAGAAGGGCATCTGGGTGGTGGGAGGGTGACTGGAAAGATCACCTATATGGTCTGTCTAACAAGGGTACAAGTGAACTTTTCTAGAACTAGAGTATAAATGTTTTAACACAATAACTAAGTAAATGACATAAAGTCTATGTTAACCAGTTTGATGAAAGTATTTCAAATTGTAATGAAAACACTACACTGTACCCCATGTTTGCATTAATGTATACAGCTATCATTTAATAAAAAAATTATAATTAAAAAAAGAATACTATTAATTTAAAAAAAAAAAAAAAGAGTTCAAGACCAGCCTGAGCAAGAATGAGACCCCCATCTCCAAAAAAATAGCCAGGCATTGTGGTAGGCACCTGTAGTCCCAGCTACTCCGGAGACTGAGGTAAGAGAACCTCTTGAGCCCAAGAATTTGAGATTGCTGTCAGCTCTAATGCCATGGCACTCTACTAAGGGAGACAGAATGAGACTCTGTCTCAAAAAAAAAAAAAAAAAAAAAGACGTACTGAATAGCCAATAAACATATGAAAAGATGCTCCAATTCTCTAATAACCAAAGCAATAAATTTTATTAAAACAAAAAATGAATAACTAGAAAATGACCATTTTGTGGTATCTAATAAAATAACTGATACATGCAACGGAGCCATTAAAAGAAACCTTGATCTCGGGCAGCGCCTGTGGCTCAGTAGGTAGGGCACCGGCCCCATACATGGAGGGTGGTAGGATCAAACCTGGCCCTAGCCAAACTGCAACAAAAAAATAGTGGGGCATTGTGGCGGGTACCTGTAGCCCCAGCTACTCAGGACGCTGAGGCAAGAGAATGGCCTAAACTCAGGAATTGGAGGTTGCTGTGAGCTGTGTGACGCCACAGCACTCTACCGAGGGTGATAAAGTGAGATGGTCTCTACAAAAAAATAGAAAGAAACCTTGATCTCCATGTAGAGATCAGAATATTACATCTTTATCAATCTTAGTATCACCAGAAGTGGAAAAAAAGAGACACTATGACATGTGATAAGTACACAGTACCATTTATGAAGTGTCCTTAACAAATAAGTTAAACCTGAATAACACCAAGTCTCTAGGACTACTTTCCATTTACAAGAAGTAACTGGTGATAAAGGAATGTTAAATCTGTGATCCCCAACCACCTGTTAGGAACCAGGTCCCAGAGCATCACCACCTGAGCTCTGCCACCTGTTCCATCCACCCCGCCCTGTCCCAGTCTCCATGGAAAAAATGCATTCCCCTGGTGCCAAAAAGGTTCCAGGCTGCACAGCAGGAGGTGAGCAGCAGGCAAACAAGCAGAAGCCGCAAACCTTCATTTGTGTTTACAGCCACTCCCCACTGTTTACATCGGGGCCTGAGCTATGCCTCCGGTCCCATCCCATTGCTGCTTTCCGTGGAACAACTGTCTTCTATGAAATCTGTCTCTAGTGACAAAAATATCAAGGACCACTTAGGTAAATGACAAATCAGAAATGTTAGATGTTATAGAGGACAACTGACCCAGTTTCTGCAACCTGTCAGTAGGAAGGGGAAAGGCTAGAAGGGCTATTCTAGGTTAAAAGAGGCTTCAGAGACCTCATGTGTAATGTGTAAACCAATTCTAACAGACCAACTCCAAAAGGCATTTTTTTAGACAGTTAGGGAAATAAGATTACAAACTGGGTATTAGTTCATTAATTATATTAGGTATGAGCCAGGCCTGGTGGCTCATGCCTGTAATCTTAGCTCTCTGGGAAAAGGTAGGTAGCTTGCCTGAGCTCAGGAGTTCCAGACCAGCCTGAGCAAGAGCAAGACCCCATCTCTAAAAAAATAGCCAGGCGTTGTGCCAGCTTGTAATCCCAGCTATTCTGGAGGCTTTGGGAAGAGTATCTTGAGCTCAAGAGTTTGAGGATGTTGTGAGCTATGATGCCACAGCACTCTACCCAGAGTGACAGAGTGAAATCCTGTATCAAAAAAAAAAAAAATTATTAGGTATGATAATGGCATTGTAATAATGTAAGAAAATGCCCATGGTTATGTCATGATATTAAGAAATTATTTTGTGTGGGTATGACAATAACAACATTGTGATTATCACTGAAAAATGAAGCCCTTGTGTTTTACATACTCTTAGAGAGGAGCAGGGGGTGGGGAGGACAGCAAAAAATATTTAAAGATGAAATGCTACAATATATGGGACTTGTTTCAAAATAATCTGGTGGGATGAAGGGGAGTGGGTGGGAGTATACCAAGATAGCAAGACCAACTATGAATTACTAGTTGTTGAAACTGGGAGATGGATACACAGAGCTTCATTAAGCTCATTAAGCAGAATGCCAGCCAACAGCAAAGC